CCTGTAACTATTTAAAGCTGTAAAATATTATAGTCTTCATACTATAATCAGCAGTCACTAGGAATCCTTGAAGAGGTTAATACCTAAGGTTGACAGTAGTAATCAGACTGCATTGGAACCATATGTTTGACTGCAAGCTTTTTTATTATCTTAGATATCTCTTGAGCTTTATTATCTTTGAGTTTAATTTTATTAGCTGTATAAGATGATCGAAAAATGTTTTGCTATAGATTACTCATATATACATATAAGAAATTAGGATTGTCTGGAACTTCGATAATATTGTTTTGTAATACTTTTAGATTTTCTTAATTAGTACAATGCAATATATCTGGTTGCGGTCTGCATACTCCATTTTGATATTCAATAGTACAAGAATTCTAATATGTAACAAGCCCTGCATTAAAAACTAGCTGGCTATAATTATCTGTGAGATTTGAATGAACAGCTTTAATTCCATAGAGTTGTTCAATGAAGGTTAACACTGTTTGAGTATCTGAATATCACTCTTCAATAGTTCTGTTCATTTGTTCAGTAAAATTGTTAGTAGTCCATAGTTTTACATTAGATTCATCTTCTTCACTTAGTAGACGTTTACTATCTATAAAGCTCAGAATCTACTCATGACTTATCTAATTCTCTTCAAGATCATGTACGAAAAATACTTTTACTTCAGTAGAGACAGGAAGTGAATTTATAAAACTTTTATATTCAATTGCTATTTCTTTAGCTTCTAATATACTTCTGTATCTACTAATAATTTTAAGTGCTAATGCTAATGAATATCTATATAATAGTTATAGTGCATATATAAGTAATATAGCTATAGCATTACACGATTAATATAAAAAGTTGTATAATTATACTCGTTAGCCAAACTAAGCAAATCCTAAACTCAAAAAAAAATTAAATGCAGGCAAACTAATTTTGTAATAATTTTAGTTTTCTAACAAGTATATTATAATGTACAGTATTTTATAGAGTATTAATTACTATAGGTGCCACTCAATTTTTTGTGTTCAAAAATAATTCTTTAAAGTTTGCATTATATAGAACTAGCAAAGGATTGTACCACAAATAATAGATTTTAATGCAGCTTTTGTTAGCTGATATTTGTCCATTATTGCAAAAGGTTTCTATTCAATTGCACATAACTGAATACATTTAAATCCTTTATTATTTGGTAGTGTGATATATTCATACAGATGTTCACAACTCATATTTTGACAAGGTATATTTCTATTATTGCTTCTACAGCAAGTCTTATCATATATATATTTTCCTTATTGAATAAAGCAAATCCTATAGATGTATCCCAATTTTCACAATCTTCTACTACTAAAGCATGAATAGGTGCTCAATCATTGTTAAGATCATACTTTGCATCAATACCAAAACAGAATAAACTATAATCTTGTACTTGTTCTAACTATATATTATCACTTACAGTAAGTTGATAATAATGTTGTAGTAAATTTAGAGAAGTAGTTAAATCTTCTTGCTAATAATAAAGAACAGAACTATTTTTTTTTAATTTATCTATAATTAATCTATGTAAGATAGTCCATGGACCTACATCACCATGAATATACCTATTGTTTCATTCTAAGAGTTGTTGAAGTTTTTTTTCATTACAAATATTGATTTTATATTTTTTCTTCTGTTCTAATTGTTCTTTTGATATACCATTAAATAGAGCCAAAAGTTTGAGGTTTACTTCTTTCGCAGTATATCTATCTGCTCGTTGACTTAAAATAATCTGATCTCTTACACTTTTCCTAAGATTAAGATATGTAATAGCTACTTCATGTTGAATCAGAATATTTGTAGGTATATGCTGACTTTCTACATATAATTGAATAGGAAATCTCTTTGCAACTATACTAAGCATAACCTTAGTAATTATACGAACTTCATATTTATGCATATCATTACCATTTTTTAAATTATACTTCATTCTATAATTTAAACAATTAGATATACAAGTTCCAAACCCACCACAATCTCGTTGACAATTACCATCACCTGCACAATAAAAAACCTAATACTAAATGCAAAAATTGGGAGCTAAGCCTTAGTGAATTTGAATAATATATCTTTGTTCTATTTCTGTAAGTTCAAGTATATCATCTAAATAGTTCATTGATTTGGTTATATCATTGACTATTGTCCAGCCTTTAAAGTCAATTACCCCTTTTTTATGTTTAAGAGTAACAAAGTTTTTTTGAATTGCTTAATTAACTTTTTGCCAGCTTTGGCATTTAAAGTGTATACCTTTTACAATAAGTAGTGACAAAATATATGTTTCGACTGCACATCCAAATAGTAAGCTAATACTTCTATTTATATTTATTTGATATAACATACTCATTGTTCAATTATATATTTGTATTTATTATTGAAGGATATTAACCTACTGAATATGGCGATTGATCTTTATACTTGTTTGTTTTATTCATGACCATACGGGCAAATAAGAATTTATTATCTTTATTTTGTTAACATGCTACTGCTGCTTTCTTTATAGTTTATTAACAACATCTTATATCTTTATCTCAACACCTCGACATATCAACTTTTTAATAACTTTAATTTTTCTATAAGCTTGGTTTTTCTATAATGCTACTTGTTTTAGAAAAAAAAAATTAGAAATAATAATTTTTTCTTCTTTTTATATTATACGTACTATCTATGACTACATATTTTATACAAACTATATATATAATACAACATTTACTCTTATATTGTAACTATGACTACATATTTTATACAAACTGCAATATTTACATATTTTATGCAATCTACATATTTACTAACCTCAAATATACGATGCTTGCAGTTTCTATTAGTCACTTATATATTATATGCATTAATAACCAATAAACTACAAGATGTAATAAACTAAATTATTCATGTAACTATCTGCTATATAGAGTTGTTAATGGAGTACTCCAGACTATATATACGTAAAAAAAATATAACTCACTTCTAGAGTGCTCTGGAGTGAGTTATATGTTTTATTATTAACTGGAGTACTCCTACCTATAGGTAGAACTGTCCCAAATAAGGAAATTTATATTCTAACCTTGCATATCTTATTAGCAAGTTTATACGAATGTTGAAGTAATGTCACATAAAAATCAGCCAAAAGTTTCAAAAAATAAGAAAATCAAAGCAAAAATTTATATTCAAAGTTCAAAGATAAGTCCTGATAAACACTGCCACAAAGTAAATTAATATATACTTATTAGTCTGGATCATTTATTTACTAAATTTACAGACTTTTAACTATTGCTATTATTACAGTGTTATTAACAAAATCTTAATAATCTATATATTGTATTCACCTCTACATGTGCTTCTATATCTAATATAAGCTTAATATTCTACTATATTTATTCTACCATATATTCTATTATGTTCTATTATAATTTAAATGACTTAAACAACTACATAAAATAAAAGTAAAATAATATAAAATTAGTTACTTGTAATAATATAGATCTACTATGCTTTTTAAAAAGTTTTATACAATAAAACAACATTTGTACTCATCTTACCTTTTTTAATTATTACTTTCGTTACGAACACGTAGTTTACTACAACTCTCTCCGTCGATCATTCCGACCAAATTTAGAGCAGAAGGAAAAAACAAGAAAACTCAAAATTTCTACTAAG